CCCTACAGAGAAATACCATTTCTTTTTTGTTTGTAAGACAATTACTTAAGTAAACCTTTTTTTAAACAAACATTGCTTTTGCGAGGTGACTTGCCCCAGCTAAAATACCTGAAGGAAAAAGAGTTCAACAACTTACTAGAACTTTGGACAGAATTTGTCCTGTATGTAAGATATTTTCAAAGACATTTTAAGTGTATCTTCCTTGATAACTTCCAGTGCTGCCTCCTCTAATTACAGTAAGACACAGCTCTCAAAAGTACAGCGCTGTTATTAGAATGTGTAATTAAATAAAGGGTGGATTTAGTTTTTTTCCTTTCTGTACAAACTAGCGTGTCAGGTGTAGTTTTGTATATTTGACTGCTGTTGCCTGGCAATAAAATGTACATGAATATTCTCTACCTCCAGTGTTTGGCTCCAGAGTTCAATTTTAGTATTAATTGATTCATCATTGAATGACTTCAAGTAACCATAGCACCTGAATCATCTTATAGCCATGGTAACCTTCCATCCATTCCTTGGAAAGTCATGCTGCCGAAACAAATACCTGCGGTCTGCCTTGCCTGCCAAAAAAAAATTAAATAGATGGCTGATACTGTCACGAGGCACTGAGAGTGATGAGCTCTTTACTGTTGTAGTAGGTCAGCTAAAGAGCAGTCAGTTAAAGCAAGGTTGTATGATTTCACACAGAAAACAGTACGTTCTTAAGCGTGTTCAGCAAAGGCAGAGTGTTTTGTTTCAGGGCAACCATTTGTAAATCCTGATGGGACACCGGCAATATACAATCCTCCCAGTGGCCAGCAGACGATGAGGAGCCAGATGGTGGGACAGTCTCAGCAGCAGCCTTCATCCCAGCAGCCTCAGCAGGTTCAACAGCCCCAGCAGCAAATGGCAAGTCACCTTGTCACACAGGTAGGTGTGGTGGCCATTGGAAAAAGACAAGAAGCTCTCAGGGATACAAAGGATGACCTAAAGGGTAGGAGGGAAGGATGCGCCTAGACAAAATATCAGGATGTTCTTTTCTTTTGAAACAAATGGGGCCCATGATCTGTATTTTCAACGTGGATGAAACAGATGGAGAGGGAAGATTCCTTTTTCAATTCCATTTAAAGGATGGTTTCATTTCAAAAAGGACTGTTAAGCGAGTTGGTGTGTGTCTACATAAATTTATTTTGCAGATATCAACCATAAGAGAAAACTGAAGCATTCATTATCAAACTAGTGCAGTCAGTAATTCTCTCCAAAGAGCCACGGACCTTTCCCTGTCCCTTTCGATAGCAGTGGGGTTTAGTCAAAGAATTGAGTACAATGCAGGGCTATACAAACGTTTCCATGTCTGGTTATATCGGGCCAGAGCTGTGGGTAGCCCACTGTCTGAGCATCCCTGCCCCAGACTGTGGGTCTTCTGCCTGCGCGCCATATTCTAGCCATGACCCTGCTCTAGCTAGAAGCTCTGGAGCTGCAGCAGGAGAGGGGAAGAGCAGCATGGTTTGGGCACAGTGCCACGTTATGTTGGGCCCCTGGGCCGTCTGTGGCATGTGGGCAGACATGGCTGAGCATGTGCAGCAGGGTTTGGGTCTGGTTCATACTTAATTTTGTGGATTGTGTGCCTGCTGTCCCAGAGCAGAGCAGAGCAGGTGGAAGAAACCACTCAAACAAAAATCCTACATCCTGCTTACTCGCAGAGCAGCCAAGATCTACTATGGTTCTTGTGTGGCTTTTTAATTTGGCACAGTTTCATCCCAGGTTACCCAGAAATACAATGTTTAAATTCAGTGAAGTTGCTTTGATTTTACTGATTTTACTGGGACTTATGTGTTTGTGGCTTTTATTTCTTGATTTGGTCTTGGCAGTTCTAGAAGACAGAGGTAATACCAAGCCTGTAAGTACCATTAACTCTCAAGTTAAATGAGAGATTAAAACGAAAGGAATCATAAAGCTATTCCGAGGTAATAGTTCTGCAGAAAATTGTTCTTTCACTTAGATAAACATCTGCTCCAAGCTGACAGGCCTGTCTCTGTTGTTAATTCACAGCCTGTTCTTTGTCAGGTTTTTTTTAGCTATTGTGTTCTGCCAAAGCAGCTTTACAATCATTATTCCTTTGCCTATGACACACTCAGAGTTAAATCAGTCGTTATCAGCAAAATTCAAATATACACTTACACTGTGCTGCTCTTCCATTTTATCTCTGTAAATTAAATGTAGAATCATAATTTGGCTATGCCTCACATCAGTAATAAGAAGGTGTAGCTGTCGCTTTATTTAATTTAACAGCCATCAAATATATGAAAATAGGCAGAAAAAGCTGTAATAAAGAATTGTTTGGTATAAGGCTAAAATGAAGATTGAAATTGCAGTACCTGACCTCTTGTATTTGGGGTGGCCATGAGTCACCTGCATTTTCAGAGCTGTGTTTGTGATCTTTGTTCTCAGTAACAGTTTGTTGTTGTTGTTATCTATCTTTATGTAGGTTGTATTTATTGTCTTTCACTGTGTTTATTTTGCAGCCTGTTCAGGCATTGCAGCCATCTTCTCAGTCAGTCCAATATCCAGCAGTTTCTTATCCTCCCCAGCACCTCTTGCCAGTCTCTCCAACGCAGCAGTTTTCTGTGGTACTAAAGATTTAATTTTTTTTTTCATTCCTTGAAGTTGGGTGTGTGAGCATGACTATGCCCGAGAGCCTCCGGAGAAGCACTGCAAGGGATGTCCCACATGAGAGGCCCATCTAAATCCCCCTTTGCCTTAACACTTTTGGTACTGACAAGCATTCTGTTTGAGCATTCCCACCAATTCTGCTTATCTAACCTGGAAGATGATGTTAGGAGCAGGGCTGTCTACCTGGTTAGCAGACCCTCCAGAAAAATCGAGCTTGTGAACAGGAGCTTGTGTCTTTCCCGCTCTGTGGTCAAGGGAGCTTAAATTGCTAACTTGGGCATTTGAGACTTTGGTTATCCCCCCTTTTATGTCAACAAAAACTGGAGAAGAGACCTCTAGAAATAATTATTTTTATTTTATATTATTTTATCGGTATACTAAATCCACTGCCTGGATTTATTCCCGGATGATACCAGAGCACTTGGAATAGAGAGTAGTGGTGAACCAGCTGCAGTAGGTGTGGTACACTATGCATCATGACAAAGCACCAATGGACATGTATAATAAAAATAAATAGAGTGCCCTTCTGGAGTCTGAATCTGGCTTGATGGTTACAGGGCTACGATTATACTGTTGTAAAATGAAGTCGACATTTTAAGAGGCACTACAAGATTTTTTTCTGTTATTTTTCTCTCTTGCTCTGGTAATCTTGTTTATGATTGATTCACCCCCGCCCCCCCCAAGGTAGAAATGTCATGTAGTTATATAGTAAGAGATGGAAACAAAGCTGAATGGATCCTTGCAGCTAAAAGAATGTTATTAACGCTTGGTAGATGAGTGGTACCATTTAAAGGACGATAAAAACTGTTTTGTGCTGAACAGAAGTTGCATATCTCAGTGCTGATTCTTTCGAAAGGTGTCTTGCAGGCATCTCAGGTTGTTCTAGTGATAGTCATAGGAAGGCTGATATTTTTAGTGGCTAATTTAATAGTGAAACTTCACCTGAATGAATGTCTTCAATGTACATTACATTATACACATGATGTATAAATTACAGGGTTTTGAAGCTCTTGGGCTCTTGTGCAAAACCAGAGGCATTGTAGGCTCAATGAAGTTTCTTGTAGAATCTGTTTGCAGTCATTCGCTATCCAGGTAACGAATATCATAGCTTTTTAATGAAACAACTTCAGACAAACACCTTACGTGCCTGAATATGGACGTAGGATGATGGTAAAGTTAATAGCATTACTTTCTTACACCACCTGAAGATCTGCCAGGAGTGTTTAGAACATTGGCCCATGGTATCCACTCTTGGAGTGGGAGGGTGAGTGTCTGTGCAGTCTCCAGCAGTGCTTTCCACAAACAACCATATTTTTTTTTCTTCCTATTTTTAAGGTTCCTGCCAATAAATACATTGTGCAGGATGGTTTTGGAGAATGAACACCACAGGGATGCGAACAAAATCGAAGAGATTCCTTTTAAAAAATAGTATGGATATTCTAAGTGAAAAGCATCTTTATAGTGCTTATTCCCTCTCTGCGAGAGGGTATAGGGAAGGATCGTAATCTGCATGTTAGCACGCAGTGGGGGTTTTATGCTGTATTTATTGCTGTATAAAGTATGCTTTAATGTTGAGTATTTAAAAGTCTTATGATACGGGCACAAATGAAGATGCATAGAACCACACATGTGAATCTTCAACCTTCATAGAATAAACTTGAGAGCGTTGATTAGTATGGATCTTTTTGCGAGACTGAATAGATACTGTCTAGAGCAACTGAAGACTTAGCTTTTTTTACTTTCTCTATGTTTACAACCTTGGATTTTCAAAACAGTCCAAAAAGGACAAGGTCTGCACTTGAATCCTACTGAATTTCTATGGGGATCATTTTGAAACACAGGTGAAATAACCACCATGTATTTGGCTGAGGAATTCTGTGTTTGGGGGAAGAGGTATTCATAATGTTTTTTTCATGCCCTTTATATTTAAAATGTCATCTTTTGAACACTGTAAAGTTCACTTGTCATTTTGGAATAAAAGGGGGGGGGGGGGGGTAAAAGCCAAAATACTTGGCTTTTGTGCCAAGCTATGCCATTCACCTTCCAGTCTGAAAGTCTTTGTTGAAGCATTTATAATGATTTTCGTTTTAATTGCCTCCATTTTTGTAGATTTCCATGCAAAGTTTGGCATGTATTTGAGCCAAGTGATTCCTTTCCCTCTCAATGCTCTGTTTGAACCTATTTTGTTTTGCTGATTTGCTTGTCTGCTGCAGACATCTTGCCTACATCATTTTCTACTGCTTTTTGCCCTGCAGCGGGATGACATGACAACACAGTTTAACCAGATGAGCTTAAGTCGTCAATCATCAGGAGACAACCCCGAATCGCCGTCTGGTCCTGTCTACCCATCGCCCATCTTGCAGCAGCCTGCCCAGCAGACGGGTTACATTATGGCTTCCCCAAGTCAGCCGCTTCCCCCAGGAGGCTTTACTGGTTCAGGCCCACCCGTATCCCAGCAAGTGCTGCCGCCGCCGCCCCAAGGCTTTGTGCAGCAACCACCGCCACCTGCTCAGGTAGGCAAAACCTTTGCTACCAGTTTGGCATGGTGCTCCTTACAACATCAGAAAGAGAATATGAAAAAAAAAAAAAAAAGATCCAGATTCTAGGGGGGTTTTGGTGGTTTTCCCCCCGCCCCGGTAAAAGCTTTGCAAGTTTCCTGCTGCCTAAAAATCTGCTAAGCCTCTGTCGTTTCCTGGGTTTCAGCAGTTCTGTCCCTGTCCTCAAACCATTCTCTGAACATATGTTTGTACTCCAGGACACATCTGCACATGAATATGAAGGAGGAAGGTGAGTAAATATCCATAGTCCTCCTTCCCTGTATATATACCAAAAGAGCAACATGCACATGAGCCCAGGTAGTCGTTAATCATATTTAATTGACTTGAACATGTGAGATGTCACAGATCAGTAATTTTAACTGTCTTTCTGAAGACTGATTATGTTTTACTGTTCACTACCAAACATCTCTACTTGTCTCCTGGGTACCTTTACAGAATATTGAAAGTGATTACTGTCAAGAAGTAAAATGCACAGATGACTGGCCCATTTTCAAGGCATACGCTTTAAAAAGCCAAATTTCTTTATCCAATTATGGATAACTTAATTTAAACTCTACTTCAAAGTGGTATTAGTAGTATTTCTTCTGTTTTCATTTTATCCTTTGGAAGAAATATATAAAAATGAAGTAAAAAAACTTCACCAATTTTTTTAATGTAAAAGTAGTGTAAACCCTAGTGGGTTTTTTTGTTTGCGACTTCCGACTGAAACTCTCCAATTGTGTTTGTTAATGGGATTCTGTATTGCCACAGTAATGAAGAATTTATACTGTTACAGTGTTTAAAGTGGGCTAGAGATCTAGTTAATTAGATCACTAATTAACAATAAAAGAAATCTGAAGACTACTGGATGCTCACATCCCATAGAGGACTGTTACATCCATAGTTTCTGTAGTTAGAAACTATGCAGCCATTTTTTCCAAGAGAAAGAGAAGGCTTGCAAAAAATAATTTTTAAGGAGCTGAAGTTCAATATAATGTGCTTTTTTTTTTTAATTGAAAATATCGCTTGGAAAAGATTTCACTGTTTGCCAAACATACCATTTTTTTTTTAATTTTGGGAGGGAAAAAATGACCTGAGGAGCAGAATCCCTGATGAATCCATCTCCCTGTCTAGACTGTGTCTCCTAAGCGAGTAAGTAGAGGCTGTCCAGGCTTCTCTCCTCATGTACAGCACCCCGGTGCCGTCGGTGCTTTCAAGCATCATTTACTCAAACCTCACGACACCCCTAGTGAACCAGATAAATGCGAACGCCTCCGTTTCACAAGCTGTCGCCGCAGCGGGCACGGCGATGCGTTTCCCAGCCCTGCCAGCCGGGGCCTGCTGCGGCAGCAAAGGGCTGCCTGCCCTGGCGGGGGACCCCGTGCCGCCTCCTCTCTTCTCCCCCACCTCAGGATGGGCTGGAACGGGTTTGCAGCCCGCCCTGGGGTCTCCGCTGGCACCCCCCGCCGCGGCTGACTTTGCAGAGGAGCTCCTGCCATCATCTCCCGCCTGCACCTGGCTGGGCCTTCGTCACCTGCGGCGGGGGGGGTGGGTGGTAGCGTTTGTCG